GACAACCACATACTTTTTAAAAAGACGATAGTCTTTCTTGGAAACTTTCGACGCAAAAAGTTTTGTCTGTCTGTCCATTTGTCTGTTTGTCCACCCTTAACAATACTGGGTACTTTAAACGGCACGAGCCGATACCACAAACGGTCGACCCAATTCGCAGCGCCCACCAATGTTGCTCAAGATTCAGCGTTAATACTTGTGCAATTGTCAATTAAAAAGCAATTATTGCGCATATCTGAGGCACCATAACAACACGTACATATTCTGTATGTGCGTCTTTTACTACAAAAAACATACATAACTAATTAAAAAAACGTATTGTTTATCGCGCTGCGCTGACCAAGCAACGCCTGCACGAAAAGGCAAGTGTTTCCAGTGCTTTGCTAAGACGACACGGTGGTGGCACCTACCCGTCGCCTTGCGTTCCAAGATAACTGCCAGATAGCGCTCATGTCTCACGTGTGACGTGACTTGATGCGCTCGTTCGCCTCCTCTGCACGCTCGTGGCACTCTAACGCAGCGCCTCCAAAATACCATTCACCGATTTTCTTGCGTAGAACATCAAATAAACGTTTTGTTCACTCTCTCCAGACGCAAGACTATCGTCTTTCGACGACATTTGCAGATTAACATGGAGAGATGGGGCCAATTTTTTCTGCACATATTACAATTAATATAGTGTTAAAGGGACACTAAAGAGCTAAACAATTTTTTGCGTATTAGTAAATTAGTAATCTAATACATTTCTTACATATGCTTGTCCTGAACATGGCATTTTTGACTTCGAAAAATACATCCATATTTCGCTTAGGAACATCGCTAATGCCATGCTAGATATCGTCATCTCATGATTTCAGTTGTGTACTATAGCTTTGCTTTTGCGCTTGAGACAGTTTCTAGAAACGTGTGCACCTTTTTTCTAGTCGTGTATATTAAATTCGCCCTACCTAGTATGGTCTTGTTTGTCAGTTATAGCGTCAGATAGTTAAAAAACTAGCTGTATACCCAGTTGACTTCGTTTTCATTTTGTTCCCTTTTCGCGCCTCTCCTGATTGTTCTATGGACTGCTGTATGTACTAAATAAAGAAATAAAAAATGAGTATTTTCACAATCGTGAAAGCACCACCCTTACCACGACACGGCTCTTGGTACGCATAATCAGTGTCAATCCGACACAACGCTTTTCCTGCCTTTCTCTCAATTTATAATCTCTCGCTCGGTAAGCAAGAAAACGCACGAAAAAAATACAAGTGGAGGTGCCACCAAGAGATTCACGCACCAAACACTATGACGCCGTAAATTTGGAAAGCTTCCACTCGATTAAAAGGAAGTATATAGTCATATTTTGTTGACATAGACCTAGCATACGAAGTTTCGGAACATTTCGTTAAGATAATGTCGCGAAAATGCAAAAAATACATTTTGAAATTTTTTTGCGTCATGCGTGACGAGTATGGCGCGAAATTTAAAAATGAAACTTCAACCTTGATTTTATTTGCTGATAATAAACTCATGACAGTAAAACTTACGTAAATGGCGTTCTCAGAGTGCAGTTTAATTATGAATCTAAGCCAAGTCATTGTTTCTCCAGGTTATGAATCTAAACCAAGTCATTGTATTCTTTAGTGTCTTGAGCACTGCCATTTGTATAGGAAGAAGCGAAAACATTGTAATTATTTATCAAAACTGTGGTGCGGTCAAAGGAACGGCAAAACAGGTAAGGTGCACACTTGCTATGGTTACTTACTTTCACAACAAAAGTATTTTGGGTCTTATGTACCAGAACTAAGTTGCAGTGAAACACTACAGACATTCAATTACTTTTGACCAACCGGAGCTCTTTAGCATGTACCTAACCTCAATATTTTTCTATATAATAATAATAATAATAATAATAATAATAATAATAATAATAATAATAATAATAATAATAATAATAATAATAATGATAATAATAATAATAATGATGATGATAATAATAATAATAATAATAATAATAATAATAATAATAATAATAATAATAATAATAATAATAATAATAATAATAATAATAATAATAATAATAATAATAAGGCTGCTTCGTCCTAGCGGTGCCTAGACCGATGTGAGTGCAGAACTGAGCAGACTTCTTCGTTTTTATAGTTTTCTTCCTTTATTTTTATTTATTTCTATTTTTATTTAAAATCATCTGTTGTTTCTCCCACTTTCCGTTTCCCGCTTGTTTCCTCTTTTAACGTGCATGCGTTGTTTGTGTGGCCGTGCCTTCCTGTAGCTATCATCATCATCATCATCATCATGATCATCATCATCATCATCAGCCTGACTACGTCCACTGCAGGACAAAGGCCTCTCCCATGTTCCGCCAGTTAACCCGGTCCTGTGCTTGCTGCTGCCAATTTATACCCGCAAACTTCTTAATCTCATCTGCCCACCTAGCCTTCTGTCTCCCCCTAACCCGCTTGCCTTCTCTTGGAATCCAGTTAGTTACCCTTAACGACCAGCGGTTATCCTGACTACGCGCTACATGCCCGGCCCATGTCCATTTCTTCTTCTTGATTTCAGCTATGATATCCTTAACCCCCGTTTGTTCCCTAATCCACTCTGCTCTCTTCTTGTCTCTAAAGGTTACACCTACCATTTGTCTTTCCATTGCTCGCTGCGTCATCCGCAATTTAAGCTGAACCCTCTTTGTAAGTCTCCAGGTTTCTGCTCCGTAGCTAAGTAGGCTCTTAGTGAGGATACTAACCTTAGCATAGATACAATGAATGATAATCTGACGAGTATCATTACGGAGTGGGCAGTGGAAGTTGGAGGCAGGGTAGTTAGACAGGACACTGGCAAGCTTTCCCAGGAAACCAAGAATCTCATTAAGAAGCGTCAAATCATGAAAGTCTCAAGTACAACAGACAAAATAGAACTGGCAGAGCTTTCGAAGTTGATTAATAGGCGTAAGGTATCCGATGTAAGAAGGTATAACATGGAGAGAATTGAACACGCTCTGAAAAACGGAGGAAGCGTCAAAGCAGTGAAGAGGAAACTTGGGATAGGCAAAAGTCGGATGTATGCACTAAGGGACAAAGAAGGCAAAATAACTACCAATATGGATAGGATAGTTAAAATAGCGGAGGAGTTTTACAGAGATCTGTACAGTAGCCGAGATAACCACGACCTTAATACTATAAGAACTAGCAGTAACCAAGATTGCACCCCACCAGTAATGATAGAAGAAGTCAGAAAAGCTTTGGAGAGCATGCAAAGGGGCAAAGCTGCTGGTGAGGATCAGGTAACATCAGATCTGCTGAAAGATGGAGGACAGATTGTGTTAGAAAAACTAGCCACCCTGTTTACGAGGTGTCTCCTGACGGGAAGAGTACCAAAGTCTTGGAAGAACGCTCACATCATCTTAATACATAAGAAAGGAGATGACAAGGACTTGAAAAATTACAGGCCGATCAGCTTGCTCTCTGTAGTATACAAGCTATTTACAAAGGTAATTGCTAACAGAGTAAAGAAAACATTAGAATTCAATCAACCAAAGGAACAAGCAGGATTTCGAACAGGCTACTAAAGAATCGACCCCATTCATACTATCAATCAGGTAACAGAGAAATGCTCAGAATATAACCAACCACTATACATAGCCTTCATAGATTACGAGAAGGCGTTTGATTCAGTAGAAATATCAGCCGTCATGCAGACACTGCGGAATCAGGGCGTAGATGAAGTATATATAAACATTCTGGAAGAAATCTACAGGGGATCAACTGCTACCATAGTGCTTCATAAAGAAAGCAACAGAATACCAATCAAGAAGGGTGTAAGGCAGGGGGACACATCTCCCGAATGCTATTTACCGCGTGCTTACAGGAGGTTTTCAGAGGCCTAGAATGGGAACAGTTAGGGATAAGAGTTAATGGAGAATACCTTAGTAACCTGCGCTTCGCCGATGATATTGTGTTGCTGAGTAACTCAGGGAACGAATTGCAACTCATGATTACGGAGTTAGATAAGAAAAGCAGAAAGGGGGGTCTTAAAATGAATCTGCAGAAAACGAAAGTAATGTACAACAACCTCAGAAAAGAGCAGCGCTTCGAGATAGGTAATAGTGCACTTCAAGTTGTAAAAAACCATGTCTACTTAGGGCAGGTAATAACCGCGGAGCCGAACCACGAGATTGAAGTAACTAGAAGAATAAGAATGGGGTGGAGCACATTTGGCAAGCACTCTCAAATTATGACAGGTAGATTGTCACTATCCCTCAAGAGGAAGGTATATAACAGCTGTATCTTGCCTGTAGCTATAGTAGCACTTTATATCGTTATTGAGGCGCTCCAAGAACGAGAGGAAGAAGCCCTCTCTTTGAGGCGAGCACGCTCTCACTATGCTAGAGCTGGCAATGCAATACTTGCGTTACACCAAGCGACCATGCTAGCGTACGATATCCTGTCGTACGCTAGCATAATAATAATAATAATAATAATAATAATAATAATAATAATAATGCGTGCGTATGTAAGACAGGAAGCAGCAGTCAGTGAACAATATATTTTATTTCTTCTTTTTCAATTCAGGCAGCAAGAAAAAAAGCGAGAATACGGGGTAGATGTGTCGCGGTCTCGGACACACCGTCTCCTTGAACGTCCTCAAAGGACGGTGTCTACCAGATCTGAAACGCCACCTATTATTACGAAGATAATTATTCTTGTTCAGGGAGATAAATGCACTGAAGTGAACCAGGGAATCACATTTGCTTCTGTCTCCACAGAGATAAAAGCCGGAATTTGGAAACAGGCGACATGTGCCGTAAGTCAAAAGAAGCACTAATGGGTTCCACGCAGAATGCAGGTAACCAATATGAAGCGTGTATTCTTCCTTGACGAATTATCCTCTTTTGACACCTAATAAATGATCGTTTAGCTGGATTGGCCTATTTATTCTGCACAGCGGAAGTCTTGTTGTGCCGTAGGCACACACAACACAAAAAATAAAGACAAACAGATTGAAGACAAAGCAGGTGTTTATAACCCAACTGTACTTTTTATTGTTTTGTTCGACATCATAGGTCACGATCTATATCAACGGTAAGTCTTTATTTTTGATTGTATTTTGTTTTTATTTCTCATTATCTTTGAAGTCACTCGGCGTTCTTCTCTGCAAAAAAGCATCGGTCAACACATTTGGGGCGACTAGACAAGAAGCCTGCGACAAGGACACGGCGGGAAAATGAACGGTCACCCATTGTTGTATAGTTTTGATTTCATAATGTTAACGTGTTACACAATCTCCGCGTGTTTTAAACAGCAAAGTCCCCGGCACGCTTCGGTCTGCTTATCAATAGGATGCCTCTGACGTCATGTTGTGTTCAGTATTGCCAGTGAATGTGTTCGCCACGTCGGTTGAGATGATTGGAAAAGTAGCACTCAAACTTCAGATAAGACGGTCAGTGTTTCTCTGTTACTCTCAAACGCATGTTTACAAGCGAAACGGTAGATCTCAATTGTTTACTTTATAATTTTCACATTTTCTTCTCATCGCAGGGCATTAACGATAACACTGCCCTCAAGTTCTTTTGAAGAAAACAGAGCAGGCGTGCGTATACTGATAGATCAATTAAAGCAGTAAGATAGCAGAACTATGAAAATGGTTCATCGAAGCTCATGTATTAGTCGGTTCGCGTGGGCGGTCGACGGATAAAAAGAAAAGAAATAACACATTCGTTTATTTTAGTCCACGACCCATAGTGATAACGCAGGTCAGCTATTCTCTCTTAATGCGGTGTATCTCGTGATAAGGACAGGAGGTATACATCACATGTCGTTACATATCACACGTCAAGACGAGAGAGAGAGAGAGATAGAGGAATAGACACAATTTATTTACAGAATACCTACGGCTGCAGATGCGAGCAGTTTGTAATTGCATCGCCGAGAGAGTCATATACGGATGGACTCACATCCGACGAATAAGAGCGAATAATTACAGATAACTACTGATCAGGTAGGTAGGAATTTTGTAATCGAAACGAACCCATTGGAAGCCTACATTCGCAACAGGCAGGCCGAGGTGATCGGAAACGCAAGATTCTTGCTAACAATATAGTGGTGTTTTCACAACGTCTTCAGGCTGGGCCGTCATTTAGCGACGTTTATTTTTCTTTCGTTCAAGGCGCATATATAACAAAGCACGTTCATCCTCAACAGGACAACGAAGTGTGCAAACTATAATGAAGGGAGATGAAAGGTTTTGATCGGTCATGACTTTTTTTTTTTCTCGGCGCAAATACGTCAGAGGACGCGTCACTTCCGGAGGGTGCTGGCGGCGGAGCCTGGCTCCTGCTGCTCCGCCGAATGGAGCAGACCGCGCTCGGCCGCAGCAGCCATGACGTCATCGGCAACGGACCGCTTTCCGGGGCCGCCGAGGAACTCCGAGTAGCGCTTTCCCGGGCCACCCAGAAATTCGGAGTATCTTTTTCCAGGACCACCCAGGAATTCGGAGTATCGCTTGCCGGGACCGCCCAAGAACTCGGAGAGCCGCTTGTTGGGCCTCGCCCGGTGGTGGCCCAATATCCAATCCAAGTCGTGGCCGTAGCCGCGGCTCCTCCCGAACGGGCTGTCGCCGGCGTACAGTTGCTGCAGGCTTCTGCTGAGTGCGCCATCTGAATCTGTCAGTGCGTAGCGAAATGGACGAAAAAGAACACCGGTTAGAGTGCGATGGGGTTTACCTACTGGAAAGAAAAAAAAAAGCTTGCAGAGAAGTCAATTGCTGGACTGAGGCATGAAAGAATACAACGTTGTAAAGCGTACAGCCAACATCGTATGACACCAACCAGCTACTGGCAAACAGATGGAGACACCAGCTGGCCAGAATTCAGACGAGACCAGCTTAGATAGACCACAATTCAGCCAACACTATAAAGCAGCAAGTCAATATTAGCCACTGCTGGCAGTTGCGAGTAAACACGGAACTCAAATAGGGTAAGCGAATAAAACATCTAGTTACAGAACCTAAGTGGACGAGGCAACGAATGACGCTATCCTCGAAAAAAAAAGAAGAAAATACCTAGTTATTGTCGTCTTGTAGCCGTTACGTCACTGCCCACAAAAGTGCAGGAGTTGCCCACTAAGCGACTCGTGACTTGACAGCACTTGGCGCCCTTTTCCTGCGTAATGTCTTCCGCTTTGACGAGCATAAACCCGAAGCCGTGAAAGGGGAAGTCCTTAACGACGATTTCACAAATGCGAATGGGTGACCGACGACCCCGAAGTGCAGTGACTGCCTTTCTAAACGTTTGTGCACCGCGAAACAGAAATAGGGAACTAATTTTAGGTGTGGCAAATTTTCTATCAACTGTTCAGCCAGCTGAACCTTTCCGAATCAGTTCCTGCACAAGGAGTGTCCCACCTTTATCGGAGGCTGTTCAATATTCAGCAGAACGTGTTATTATCGATTCGCCTCCTCCTCTTTATAATTCAGGCCGCCTCACGCGTTAGATCAGAGCCTCATGCTGTAGATCAAACGAACTAGCAATGCTTCCTGCACGTCCGAAAGGGGGTACAGCACAGAGAGTGTCACTGCACGCAAGGTCGGGCATGGGAGGAATCGTGCTCTCGAAATGTACGCTTGAGTGGTATTTGACTTAAGCAAGGACCATCACACTTGCAATGTTTCTCGCCGTCAGTCTATAGAATCATAACTAAGGCCAATTCCGATTTCAGTTTATCCTGAAAGACTTTCTGCGCGTCAAATATTAGTTGCAACACGCTGGTTGTTGTTAAAGTGACCCCAAGCCCGAACCATTAATCTGACAAACGCTAAACTGGTTCAGAAAATATCGCTCACAGCGAGTTTCTCTCAGCATTCTCTTTTTCATTTTGGTGCAGATTTGCAGTGTTGGCGTCATTTTGAGCTCAGACAGCGTTTTGCAACTCAGACTGAGCGCGACTGTGCGCGCACAGGCAAGACGTATGCGACCAGTAACCACTGTTGTTTTTATTTTTGTTTTTAATTCAACATAGTTTCTTAATTCACTGACCACGTTTGCAGAAGAAATGAATTCTAACGAGTAAACACTACTCACACACTAATAATAAGCGTTTGGTAGGAGTGTCAGAATTACTGCATCTGCGCGCCAGCCATGAGCCACAGTAGTCGTATAAATAAATGAGCAAGCAATAATGATTATTACACCGTTTTGCAATGTCATACACATTTTCTTTAATTGTCCTTCAATTGTAGCTCTCTTAAAACAGACGCACTCCAAAATCGTCGAGCACAATCAGAACAGCACTTTTTTAACTACATTGTAGCTTTAGTCTAAGATTTTTAGGCGACGGTTAGGTGAGACATTTAGAACACAGACTCACGTGTTGGGTGGTGCTGACCGAGCCATACAAAATTGTCTTATGTCCCTTGAAGGAAGAAAAAGAACAAGGACGCGTTTAAATGTCATGCATGGAAAAATGATGCAGAGAATTGTCACATGCACTTTTTAGGTAAGGTTTAGACTACGACAAAAAAGTGGTAAGTTTAGACGTAATTTAGAGACCTATATAAGTATAAAAAAATCTGTGCAGGCTCTTTGTCTTGAGTGCGGGGGACATATATGCATGCATAATGAAAAAAAAAAAACAGGGAGGCAGTGGCGGCATTTCCATTTGAATAAACGCGTGTTTGAAGGCAAGCGTCAGCGTTTTACGAAACACTGACTCGTTTCAGTTCTCGAGATGACCCCTTCGCCAACCGTAAATTACCGATCGGTCGTCCGCAAAGCAATGTTGAAACAAGCAAAAGAAAAATAAAAGATTATACTGGCGCACAATAAGAGTTTCCCATATCCGAGATTCCTCAACGATCGCATATAGATCCAGCCCGACTGCAAAGAGACATTCAGAAAACTGGTCTCACTTTTTTCTCCAGTTAATTGAACTTGCCATTAGAGCGGACGCAACCGCGTTTGTTTCTGTTCTCTAATATACGGAGTTACTGGAATCTTCTAAAGCCCTTGATGGGCGGTTTCGGAAAGAAATCGGTCAATGGAATTGTCGTTGGCAGCTCATGCGACGATGCTCATAAATTTGCTACTGTCATTAAGACCAAGTCAAGCGCGCAAAGTTTTTAAATGACGGTATTAGGAAAGATTTTAATCTGACAAGTTGATATGGCGAAGCGAATTTCGGCAGACAAGTTATTGGTCAGAGACACAACTACCGACTTCTTTCTTAAGCTGTTTCCACGGAAACGAACACAGTTTACATGCTCCCAAAAGTAAACTTGTGGGAACAAAGAAAGGCATCTTAAAACAATAAATAAATGTGACAGTTCACTCGTTCAGACTTGTGCAAGTCGAGCTGGATCCCGAAGCATAACGTACGTAGTGCGAAGATCTTCACACCAGGCACGTTCGACTTTAGATGGAGCATTACGACGACGACATCAGCAATAATTTGCTCGGAACGATCCTATGCTTCCGAACGCAACAAGATATGTTCGGCCATTCTTTAGAAGCACGAGACCGTCTTGATTCCCCGCTCACTTTAGTCTACGTATATTTTAGAGATTTAGTTAGATGCATGTATTACTGGTGGAAAGTCCGGTGCTGCCGAGGCAGGGCCACAGTGCAGTTTATGGGAAGTAGATGGTAACTGGTGTAGCTTAAAAATGTAGTTCTGGCGTGTTCTGGAACTTCTTTCCTTTGAGCCTGGCTTTGTAGTGCATTTCGCGATGTGCGTTTTTTTTCCAACCCTCTCACTTCGAAGCTTGAATGACAGTTCTGTTTGCGATAAGTCGTTTGCAGCTCACAAAAGTTGAACGCTTTCTCTGACTCACGTGCAAGACAGAGTGAATATGGCAATCACACCTGAAAATCCCTGATAAAATGAACCAATAAGTACGCCTAATATAAGAAGAATAAGTTCTGTAGTGTCAGGCTTATTCAGTTACTGTTCTGTAATGCACATATGGTCAGAGGCATTCAGATGTATGATGTTTAATTTGAAAAAAAAAACGCGAAAAGACAACGCCAGATGAAACGTCATCAATCAAAATTCAGTACTTTCTTTTGTCAAATGTTAGCCCGGCGGCACTAAATAGGCGATTCATCAAATCACGTGATTCGTATTCAGGTATAAACTGTGTAAGCAGTAATTTTTGATCGGGGAGCCGGGAGGCACATTATTGATTGAAGTGGGCGGTGGGCGGTATGCCGTGGCGAAAAAACATTCAGGGGGCGCAAGGGCCCACTGTGTTACCACCTGAGTACGCCACTCTAAGACACGAACCATTAAGTTGGTTACATCACTCGGGCCCCGGCACCAGACTTTCCTCCAGGAGTGTTTTTTTTTTTTTTCACAATGACGTCATGGTTTACAAAAGGCCTCCGAGAGTGACGATATGCAGGGTTTACCCACGCACGTGGTTCCGTGGCTATGTACGCTGAGGAGTTCGTTTCGTCCCTTCGACGCCATGTGTATAGGGTGCGCTGTAGAAGCACGCATCTTGTACAGACGCTGCTCACGATATTAGGGATAACAAATTCGAGGAGCTCATATATACTGCGCGCTTTCTGGTACAAGGCTTTCAAGGCGTGCGCCACACGGGGCTGTCACCTATAGAAACACCACGTAGTTTCACTGCATTCCACTAAATTCGCCAATCTGTTTGGGTATCCATCCATAGACCGCAAAAGCGCTTAACTAGTTATCAGGATGCACCAGAAGTGCGAAAGAAACAAGCTTGGTGCTACATGCCACCTCGGTCTATTGATAGAATGCGTGCATCGCCATCTGCGAATGGATGGGCCGGTTTGTACTGGTATGCCTAGCGAAAAAATACAAAGGCTGGGTATGTCTGGACAAAGGAGACCACGGCGCCCACTCGAAGCGGAGATGCCACCAATGCTTGTATGCTGTTCTGAATGAAAACTTTTATCTCGCTTTCATAAACATTATAATCTGTCCGTATGGGGAACCAGCGCACGAAAACCTGCTTAACGTCACAATCAGAGGCCGCAGTTTAGGTTTAGTTTAGGCATGACCTCCGAGACAACCGGCGTGTGTCACTACTTACGCCAAGGAGGTGGTGCAACTCCCCCGACCTCCTTGACGCGCGCCTCTCGCCAGCCATCTCGGAGGCCACAGTTGTGAGGGTGTACCTCGTTTACGCGTCCGGCGAAGAGTAGAACGCGTCACGTTTCCTCCGCCCGAGGAACTCGGAGCCCATGCGCTTGGGCAGCAGGTCGGAGGGCGAGGAACGCTTGCCCAGGAACTCGGAGCCGATTCGCTTCTGCTTGGCCGCGGCCGCCATGGCCAGGTCGAAGTCGTCGTCGTCGTCGTTGTCGTAAGCGCCGCCGCCGAAGCGGCTGACGCCGGCCGCGGCGCGCAGAAGCCTGGCGGCTCGCAGCGCGGCGGCGGGCGACCGCGCGACCAGCTCTTCCTCCCAGAAGCCTCCCGGCAGCCCGTCCGAGGCGTCCAGTCGAGAAGACGGTGACCGCTTGCCCAGAAACTCGGAGCCCATGCGCTTCGCTGCGTCGAAGCGAGCGCCAGAAACGCAAGGCCGCGCAGCGTACAGCTCCCGTTGCGGGTACAGGTCATGTCTATCATCACTCTACGGGCTTTTTACAATATGCTGCTCTACCCTTACTTTTGTGTAAGAAAGGAGTACAGG